ATTTACGCGCTAATAAAATTGATTTAATTAATCAATGACGAGTGATGCTCTTTATTCGCGTGCAGTATCGATTAGCATACGTTTGTCAGGAGTTCCATCTGGATGAATCAGTCAAATATGACGAAATAAGTTCCCTCGATGTAGTAAATATGTCGGGGAAAATATTTGTACTTATCTCTCTTCTTCTCTCTCTTATATTGATATTCCGTACGGATTTTGGTTACGATCACATTAGCGTAATTAGATATTCGGCCGAGGGTGCGTTGACCTTCCAGCAGTGTCTTCGTTACCGGTTGCAGAAGCAATTTTCTGCTACATGCGCGGAGACTTTCCGGAGGTATAAGCAATTTTTACGATCGCGGATCAGGTCGTTTTACAGGTGTGATATAGCTGCGTCGTCACGCGAGAATTATAACAGGGTATAACAAAAATTCAGGTCACCCTCTTTTTTACGTCCGTGTGCTTTCATCGGTGCTTCAATTTATCCCAGACTGTTATCGCGTTTTATTAGAAATTTATGCCTCTATTCGCGAGACGATAATGCCAACTGTGTCGAATATTGTTTTTTTGTCTGTTTTTTTTTTATAACTTCTATATCGCAAAGTTATCGTTTCGGACACTTCGCGTCTGCGTTTATATTGTCTCGGTAGATAATTTGAACAAAAAAAGAATGGCGTAGAATCGCCCAACCTTACGTCCGAACAATTTGGAGAAATAATTAACGCACTCGCACACACATACAGGATGTAACAAAAATGTGAGCTGCTATTTTAATAGCTTATTCTATTCATCGAAATGAGCAAGAAAGTTCATATAAACATGTGGCCAAAAATAATTTTTTAATTCACCTTTTCAACGTGTCAAAATATTTAATAGGTGTTGTTTCAGATAAGTTTTGCTCATTTTGTTTAAGAATACATTATTTTTAAATATGAAAATAATTTTGTATATTGTTCGAAACAAAATAATATGTTGTGTAATTTTTTTCAATTTCAATCCAAACTGTAACGCATTTCTGGACACATATTTATACGGACTTTCTCGTTTATTTCTATTAGTAGAATACTGCTAAAGCGATCCACATTTTTTATTACATCCTGTACACACATCTCGCGATTGTATACGTACACACACGCACGTACAAAGTCGCGATTGTGAGTCACGCGCATTTAAGCAGAGCATGGAAGAGATACAAAATTTATTTCGCTTATACATATAACAATACGTACGAGATGGCAGCTCTCATTCGTATGTATCGCAGCTTTTTGAAACATCGCGCGAACATGCCGCTACAATTCTCTCCGGTGCATTACCCACGAGTGCGTCTCTGTCTGTCTGGATGCGCCTTCAATGCACCGGCGCACAATTGCTTTCCGACCCGTGGCGCATCGAAGTTTAAGCGCATATTCGCGCATATATTGTCGTATCGACAATTGGAAAGGTCAGTTTTGCTAATACTCGGCATAACTGCGCGACTAAAGTTTCTTTAAGATACCGTATTACACGTATGGAAAACATTCAATATTATATGTACAGCATATAAAAAGATCGCGTTTATATATCGTACGTATAAAAAAAAAAATATATATATAGTGTCCTTTTTTCCCGAAGAGCGTGAAAATATGCACTATAATATATTTAATTATAAATGTCAAGAACATAAGAAGATGAAGGTAAAACGATTAAGCGCTCTGGCTCTCTTATTAACCTTATTGCTTGTTCTATAAAACGATTATGTTCATTATCTCTTTAATTACTCGCAGCACTAATATAACGTTTGTAACAGCGGAGTGTAATATAATGAAGAGAAGTGCATAATATAACGCAGAGGGGGATCGCGTCGATTGCGAAGCGAAGATATCGCGATATTTCCTCGAAGACAGCCACAGAATGCGAAAATGCCGCGGTAGCGAAATAACTCGTCGTTTGAAAATTGCTGAGCCCGGATCCCGCGTTCGATGCACTTCCCGTGTTGCGCCGCAGTTAGTTAATACCAATCACTACGTTGCAATTCTCTCTCTGTCTTTCTTCCTTTCGCCTCTCCACCTATCTCTCTCGTTCTGTGGCGGACGAATTCAATCGGAATTCCTATCCCGCTGGGAGACGCAGAAGCTCTGGTCCTCAATGTCCACGCTGTGATTCTCAGCGGAAATGCTAGAACTAGCGATGGGATTGAGTGTCTTGCAAGTAGGTTCGAATTTCTTGCATGCTTACAAATTCTCGCTATGATTAAATTTTAAAAAACAGATAGATTCGAACCCTCTATTAGCACCGTGAAAAATAAGAGCAATTTATTCGAAGCTTAATTCAAGCAAGTTCGAATCTACTTGATGAGTACTTATAAGAAATTGTGGGAGTAGATAAATGATCAATATATGGTACAATATATGAAATATTATTTCTTATGAGTTATTCGAATTTTAGGAAATAAAATTTCATTATTGGACTTGACTCGGATTTTTAAGCGTACTTTGAATTTGATCCCATATCTAATTAGAATGATTTACTGATGTGAAGAGAAAAGACTGCTGTGAATCGGCAATTGATCACTTGGTTACGTTTAATTTATTAATACTGACGTGTGTCTCCATTTCCCGTATTGTTTACGCGCTCGCCGAAACTGATCATTAATCAGAGATTCGGCACGTTACTGCTTTTATTCGTGAACAGTTACGCAAAACGAAATCTTGAATCTTCTACATTTTTATCATGTTTGTTTGAAAAGAATAAATTAATAGAGAGATAAATGCAATAGTGTACATATTTATTTCGAGAATTAATTAATTCTCCGATGGATCAAGGAATCTTGCCAAGATTAAAGGCTTATAGTAACATTGGCGGCAGAAAAAAATTATCCACGTAATCTATCTTCGGAATTGCGTATTAAACATAATGTACGGATGTGTTGTAAGTATCGTAGCCTCTTATCGCGCGAAGAAGATACGAGAAAAATCTCTCGCTTGTTAATACATTATTTTTCACAGGAAAAAACGAATTTATTACTGTGATTCACATGATTGAGCAAGCACTTATCTTTAATGTTTACGGAAAAACGTCACGGAAAATCCAAACGCAATGTATAAACAGCAATTGACGACAAGACATATATATTTAAAGCCGCGAATAAGCAAAAATCGCACGGGAATGCATATCGTCCGTCCTATCTCCAAAAAAGACATCGAGAGAAGGACGATCCGTTACCGGCGCGCTTCCGCCGGAAGTCAGACGCGAAAGGATGGGAGATAAGTGCGCGCGAACGCGATATAACGGAGAGCAGAGAAGGGCAAAAGGACGAAAAGAAGGAAAGGACAAAGGGAAGAGTGGTGTCGTGACCTTGCGAATCGAGTTCCGCATTGCGGATCTCTATGGGGAGAGATGCTGGATACAAAAATATTTTTCCAAGAGAGCGAATGCAAATATTGAAATAATATTCTTTTTTATTGGGAGGACACTCTAATCCTACCCGAATCCTGGCGATCCCTTCGAAAGATTACATTTTATCCACGAATCTCTCGACTTCTCTCATCTATTATTAGTATGCAATGAATTATTACGTAAGATATTACGATGCTGATTAATAGAGATGAACACTTTCGCGATTTGAACAATAGAAGAACAAGAGGCTAGCGGAGAGGAAAGCAAAGATGACTCGTGAGTTTGAAGAGAGTTCCGGGTTGTTGGTTGCAAATAGTTCCATTCCAACTAATTATCCACTTGCAGAAAATTACTACATTTCCATCCAAATTAGGGGGATTATAATGAAGAGGATGAATAGCAGGACTGGCACAAAAGCAAATGAAATTAAAACGACTTAGAAGTGAAACGCAGTGCTTCGCGAAGTGCTTCGATCGATCGAAGAAACAATATTTTTCCGAAGAAATTCATTCCGAGAACGTATATCTTTCGTTTTTTAAATCAGTAAATTATCATCATCATCATCATCATCGTCGTCGTCGTCGTCGAGCTACTACAAATATGCGACAAACACCGTTTGAGTCATCGCTCGGAGTCATATCGTTCGCGCGCATTGGAATTTTGCTTATACAAGACAAACCGTGTATAACGGGGAAGTCAGCGTGGCTAAAGAAGGACCTCGAAGAATCTAACGAAGGCTTGAAAAGCGCGAATAGAGGAACGGCAGCGAAGCGAACAGCGTCGTCGCTGGTAGCAACGGCACGTCATTAGCAAAAGACGAAAAAATCCCTTCGTCTCGACCTTGACGGGCTACAGAATATGGGTTCCGCATTGCTAGGTCGCGCTATGGAAGTGGCAGAAGGACGCGGAACCAGCCGGTTGCTTGCGGCGGCTACCTTTGGACTCTCTCGGATGTATAATGGTCGACCTTCAACTTGACCGCTCGAGTCGAACCGTCCTTCCCCTACGCTTTTATATATACGTGTGCGACCGCACGCGGAACTACTCGCGTATAATTTTAGAAGAGCGCGCTCTCGGGGTCCTTGACACCTCGCCGCGAGACGACGAGACGATGCGGCCATTGACAAGTCCCCTCTACACTCCTCTGCATTCATTGACTCGCATCCGTACGTCGTACATTCGTTGTGAAATTTCATGTGCGTAGGATCGATCTGTCATCTTCAATCTGTCGCATCTTCGAATCGTCGTCTTTTTTCACTCACGCGGATCGTGTCAATATTTATTATCTACGGCAATAGATTTCTTAGAGAGAAAGTCTCGATGTAATACAGACTCGGAATAGTATATATATATAAATGTGATACATTTTTACAAATTACTCATAGAGCCTTTACATGCAATTAATTTACTTAATTCATTTATGTTTTTTAAATGAATAAAATATGCTTCCAAAGTTATTTTTTAGAAATTATGTAGCATTTTTATTCTATGTAAAATTATACCGATAATCATTTATTTTTCTAGAGCATCATCATAAAATAATCTTTTACTATAATAATTATTTTTATTATTTATACATATATTTCTTCCTATAAAATTCCAATAAATTCTCGTTCATATTGCAGATATGCCTCAGCCAAGATGTCTTAATGAATACCAAAGAAGAAGACTGGAGTAATGGTCTTAGGGATAGCGTGGTCCTGAGAGACCGACTGATGACAGATGCGGCTCTCGGTGGACCACGACCGATAAAATCCGAGCATAGTTACAGCCTTCTGGCTCACAGTCCTCCCCCGAGTCCGGCGACGCCAGGAGTCAACCCTCACACCCCCAATTCATGTTCCGGCGCAGTCGACTCGAGCACATCGAATACTAGTTCCTCCATCGATTTCGCCAATCTGGATCAGAAGTCTCTCGATATTCGCCGAATCGATGGTAAGACGATACACCGGGCAACACGATCCTCTTGCCGTATTTTATCTCGAATTCCTGTCTTTCTTTAAGTGTGCTCCCTGCTGATTTCGAAAAAGAACATTCAATAGCAAACGTTATTTCACAGATATGGAAGATGAATGTTTTCCGGCCATTTCGATAAGTAGTGCCTCGAGCCGCGTCGAATCGTCGTCGTCGTCAACGTCATCCTCTATCTCGACCGTAATTCTCAAGAGAAACAATCTAGTACCTGAAGATAACGAGTGTCCGGAAATTAAGGGCGAGCCTATTAGTGCGCCGGCAAGTCCCTGCGCGCCTTGTCAACCTAACTGTGACATAGTCGATGATAAGAGCACGATAACAATAGTGTCACCGCAGAGCCTTACCTTTGCCAAAACTCAGCTTTCGCACATGAGTGACAGCGAGGAGGATGACGAAGAGTACTATCAGGTATATTCTTTGAATTAATATTTTGCGTTTCATTCGTATTATACTTAATCTTCACGCCGCGCTCTACATACAACTACTCCAAACATCATACAAGAAAAATATATAGAAAAGAAATTTATTAATATAATTAATATAAATTTTTTTATAAATTTAATATATAATAAATATAATACATTTTTTAATGAATTAAAAAAGGACAATGAATAAAAGACAAAACGTTTTCTTCGAATTTATTCAAACTGCGTGTTATTATTTGAAGATTTAAATTAGTGCGACGAGTCAATGTTATCATTATTCCCGGTTATTTTTAGAATATGGAAATCGAGGAGTACGGCGTTATCTGCGAAGGGAAAGAGACGACCTTACGTGCGTCAAGACAGGGGTTGCCGCCGACACCACCCAGTAGCGCAAGCTCCGATAGCGAAGGTACTGCTTCCGCTTCCTGTTCGCCGGAACGCCGAGATTCCCAGACATCTACGCAGAATCTCAGGGGTTTACTGGCGCCGAGGCTTTACGTCAGCAATAGCACTCACACCACCAGACAACCCATTCATACGCCCCTTATTTCCTGTCAACCGGTAAGATACTAAAGGAATTTGACGCCAGTGACTTTGAACGTGTTGCTAAATCCATTAAGCTAGTGAATTTGGTGCGGTTATAAATAAACTACAAAAATTAAAAATGATTAAAAAGGATAAACGAATATCTCAAAAAAATTCCATTCTACATATATCTTGTTTTTCAAATTGTTATGGAAATATTTTATGCGGAAACAGCAAATAAATTTTATACTCGAAAGGAATCAATAATTTAGTATAAAGAACGTAATATTCATTTTTTATATATTCTTATTTACACGTGTCATATATGTCAAGTAACTTTATTAAATAATTTTGTGTGACAAAACGATGAGATTTTGTTACTTTAAATGTTCTATAATGTATACAAATACATATGTATAAAAAATAATTCACATTTATTTTCGTATATGTGTGTGCAATTTCTAAAAATTATTGTCTGACCTAAAACCCAAGAAAATGCTTGTTTACGTAATACATCTAATATTAGCATATGTGGCCGTATGTATCGTCACATCAACAAAGTTATTGGATCTCCATAAACAAACTCGATGCTTTTATGGATGAATTTTACACGTTTTATTCTTACTGTTGCTCTCGTCCCACGAAATAACAATCCATTTTCACTGTCAAATTTATTGATCCGGTGATGTGAACACTTACGTGGGATTGGCATTGCAGAAAGGATCGACGGGTGTGTTGACATTAACGGAAGAAGAAAAGAGAACCTTGATAGCCGAGGGATATCCAGTACCCACAAAGCTTCCTTTGACGAAACAGGAGGAAAAATCCTTGAAGAAAGTACGAAGAAAAATCAAGAACAAGGTATGTAACAAAATAGCGTTTTTTTGTACTCTAAATATTTTTAATCAAATTGCGCAAAAATTGCAAATTTGACGTGAAAGTTATTGATTTTTGTGTGGTACGTTTTGCAGATATCGGCGCAAGAATCGCGTAGGAAAAAGAAAGAATATATGGACAATTTGGAGAGGCGAGTCACGCAGTTGGCAAACGAGAATTCCTTGTACAAGGATAGGCTGAATACTTTGGAGGACACAAATCGCGAAATGCTGAAAGAGTTGCAACGTCTTCAGGCCATGGTGCAGCTACAACAATCCTAGATTTATTTGTCTTTCAACGGTCTACATTCATCGCATTTTATTTGATGATATCCGAGTAATTCCATTGATTTTAGCTCCTACGAATATCGTAACGATAACGTTCACGTGAATGTGTGCTTCTCAATATGTTCCGAGAGATTGAAAATTATATGAAATATTGAAACAGATTTTAGATTTTCAAATCTTTTCTTCGGCGCTAATACGGATTTATCCGTCGACTTTTGCTCTTCCATATTCAGACTCTATTATTCTTATACAATTGTCCTTTATTATTCGATAAAGAGGATTTGAAAGAGACGTCGTTGATAAGAACTTGTTGCTATGCTAAGTCACAGATGTAAACGGAGTATATTTTTACGGATTAGTGCAATTTCTTTACATTCCTAGTATGTCTTCCTCATCACACACGACGAAGCTTTTTGCAGCGCAATTGCGACTAAAGATTTGCATCAAGTACTGCAAATCGCTTCGGTGTTTCCTGGCAACAATTTAAGGTTATCACTAATATATATATATATATATATATATATATATATATATGTATATATATTCTCTCATAATGATTATATATATATCAGTATATATCTTTTGCTAGATTATATTTTCGCCAGGAGTGCCTTTACGGACATTATTTTCATCTTTCTTTTAATCAGCATTGCAAATCAGAGAACATTTAGGCTAATTTATTTCTCGCTATAGTACATTTAATACGAGTTCTTTCTCATTTTAATAAGACGTAAAAATATGGAGATTTGATGTTCGCGGATATTCCAGCCATGAAATGTGCGTGTTACGAAAATCAGTTGTTGAATATTGCCTAACTCGAAATGCAACAAGAAATTTCGAAAAAAAAGAGAACGCTTGAATGTAAATGATCTTCTAATTATTCGCTAAATATTGTACTTCGGAGAAGGTGAACGATATTTTAAACTGAGACACGAAGAAATATTTTTGAGGTCCAAAATATGAAGAGAGAATATATATCGTTATGCATTAGTCCAATTTGACACAGTTTCGTCAAAGGGTTTTGCATTAATGCAATTGTATATGTATGCTCGCGGTATATAAATGCTATGAAATACATATAATATATGACATATTTTATATAACTAAAAAAACAGGGGAAAGTACGATTATATATTAATTAAGAATTGTGCAGAGAGAAATGTAACGTGAGAAAGTAAATTTGACGCTATCGACGAAAATATTGCATTTATTGCGTTTCCTCTAAAAAAGAGAGACATCTAGTTATATATGTACAATAAATATTATATCATGCAGATCGATGAAAACTTGGTGAAATCCCAATTCCGCGTCAAATCGACGATGTGGCCTATTTCCTTAGGACATTATCGTTAAAGTCGACAGACGTGAATCGATCGGCGATTCCCAAGATGATTGATCGATCATGCACAACGACAATTTATTTCGCGCCAATTTGAAGCGTGTAATAGCAAATATGTGTAAGATATAAGTTTACGGATTATATAGGATATACTATATATATTTTGTTCGTCTCCACGCGATAAAAATCGTCTAAAAAGGTCCACGTTACATTTGCAAGTCAATGCAAGCATTATGCGGTGGCTAGGTTTTTACCGTCATTTACATATATTTACGCGGAGACGGTCGAGAGAGAGAGAGAGAGAGAGAGAGAGAGAGAAAGAGAGAGAGAGAGATTGTAAGATCCTGATTTCGCGACCGTTTCTCAAACGCGAAGCTGTATTATTTGTGATTTAAAGCCGAAGCTAATCGAACATGCGTGGAGAGAATTCGTTCGGTTAATGTCATCATCATCATTCTTTTAGATGCTTTTTTTTCGTAATTTTGTTCACGATTATAGCGTAAAATCGCGCGAGATGTGCTTCATATAAAAAGGCGAATCTCGCGATTATTTATCGCATGAAAGTCGTGGAAAGGGACCAATGCGCACAAGACAAGAGAAGAACTCTTTTTTTTCTTTCCTCCCTTCTTCACGTAATTGCCAAATAAATATTAGAATTTAGTATCGTATCGCGTGACCAAGAGATGGTTATTTATATTAAAGGATCATATATACCTCGCATGAGTGTCTACAGAGTGAATAGTGATTATCGTTATATTAATATTATATCACACTTATAACGTTTCAAACATGATTCTTCGTATAATAATAATCCAGACTAAAATGCGTACGTATACAGGATGATCGCACAAAGTCGTCATCCATTTACACTCTTGATATTTATATAGATTGCATTTATTAATTTATATTACATTAATAATTGAAAGTAAATTATTCCATTACTATATTTCAGCCAAATCACACATTTGACAAATTAAAGTCAAATTTATTAAGATTTTTACATCTTTATTGCTAATTCCTACCTTTTGTAAACCATACTGTACATGCGTACGCATGTAATAAATTGTAATTTTTATGCAAAAAAAACTATAACTTTAAATCAATGCCGAAATTTTTAGAAAAATATGTAGAGAGATCTGCTGAAGATATATTGCCTAAGGGAATGAAAGTCAATGAAGAAGTCAATAAACGTAACAAGTGATAATAATCGATTAGATATTAACATAAATGCGAATGAAAAGGCACTTTCGATATATCTCGCGGAATTTACAAATACCGACGAGAACTTCCATCTTTTTGCGTACATACACCGGCAGAAATGGTGGTCCGACGTAGTTATGCGTTAGGTATGTACGTGTCTGATAACCGAAAATTAAATATATACATGATACATACGTATAGCGACACGTATGTCCGTGCTATATATGTATGCGTATAATTTTCGGTGGTCGTACACGTAAATATACATCTAACGAACCACCATTCCTACTGATACTGTACACGCATACACATAATTATATATGCATATATTTATGTATATACATTCAATTTTAATTCGCAACACGCGCGTATGATAAAGAAGAGATCATTTATCTGTACAAAGCAGCAAAATAATTTTTATTGAAAATACAGAGAGTTTAATATATTCTACGAATAGAACTTTATAGATGATTATATATATATAATACATTAATATTATATACATTGAGTGTATATATAAATAGATGATATATTTTACGATATATTACATTAAACGTTTGAAAATAATGAAGAAAAATCGCACCATTGTCTGTTACGATACATTTATCACTATCACGACTCATCATCATCACGATTTATTTCTTATGCGCGATATAAATGTTACGTCTATACATATATATGTATATCGTGTAACTTGGCGTCTATTATATATTTATCCAGAGAATCCCTATATACATTAATAAAGATATATATATATATATATATATATATATATATATATAAATATAGATATATATTTTATTCGACCTTATTGAATAATTCACGTGTGTGTATAATTTGTCTACGCGATTAAGCACGATAGCCACGTGATTCATGTAATACACGGTGCTATAATTTTGAATGATTGTTGTCCGACAATAAAAAAGAAACATTTATGAGCTAACATTCCTTGTACGCTTCATACATACATATGCTTTACACGCTGTACAATCGAAACTATCACCTTATCTTTTTTCTCAAAAATAATAATTCTATTGTTTTCTTCTTTCTTGATATATTATTAGATGCAAAAGATCTACGTGTATTTTATAAAATTTTATCGTGCCTAAAATTTTTTTTCATTCTTTTGTTTTATCCTTCTTTAAAAAGGACATGTAAGTCGATTTTTAAATGTATCGGTTCATCTCGAAAGTCTCGAATTTCGAGATTTCTTTGTCGGAGTATATTTTCATCGGGATACAATTTTCTTATAAATACTAAATTTATGTGGCATATATATATATATATATATATATATCATGTCGTTTAATCTAACCGAATTACGCACGCAAAGCGAAATGATATTCTTTGATAATAAAATCTCAAAAATTGTGACGCATGCATACAAAAATTATTATTGCAATCAATACATAAAAAATATATTAATTAATTATATTTTTAACGCATAAAAATTCAATATTTAAATCTTTTACAAAAAATACGAACGAAGAAACAAAATTTTCTACAATAATCTTTTGTGATTAAATATCTATGCTTTCATTAGACTCACGCAAAATTCGATACCCCACACGTCCATCACGTTGCGCGGCTCGCGCGAAACTAATTCTCGTGCGGGTACCGCGAGCGCGGGCCCGATGGTCACATGACCAATGGTCACGTGATTACTGGTCATGTGACCACTGGTCATGTGACCATCGGGCCCGCGCTCGCGATACCCCGCACGAAAATCAGTTTCGCGCGAACCGCGCAGCGTGATGGATGTATGGAGTATAGAGTTTCGCGTGAGTTTAATGAAAGCATAGATAGCGCGCGCTTATGTTGTCTAGTTTCTATACAAAAACTAAAGATAGCTCGAAGTGGCACCGAAACATATATATATATATATATATATATATATATATATATAATATTTATATATGTATATATATTTAATAGAGATTTAGTAGAGTAGTTCGTGGTCAGACAGACAGACAGACAGACGGTATTTATATATGTATAATAGATTTTATAGATTTGAGACAAATACATATACAATGTACATGTACATTTATTTGAAAAAATTTTCAAGTCTTTATTTAAAATTCTCTGAAATATATTTTTTAAGCCAATCTAAAGTTTCAAAATTTAATATATATTGTTATTCAACAATTTCAATTATTTTCTCAATTAAGATCATAAAACTTAATTAATGTAATATTTTGGAATTGAATTCTTATTCCTCGGTATCCATCTCCTTACTTTCCAGTTGATCATCTATCTGACTTTTAAGAGTGGCGAGGCTGAGGGGTGCATCAAGAATCTTACGTTCTTCCGTCTTATCCCTCTTAGACCTATACAGGGGATTTTCGAATCTGCCACCTGCGACATGCGTTATCCCTTTGACGGCATCGTCATCGTCAGCCTCTCGTCCGCTCGTTCCGGGAACGTCGGCAATCCGAACGTTGCCTTCGGGAACGTTCTCGAAACGGGCGAATCCGTGTTTCTGCTTGTCCGCCCGAATTCCATCACGAACGGATGAGACGACTTCCATACATCCCGAGAGAACACTGCAAAAATTACATTCCGTCAAGATCAATAAATATAATACACAAAATGTACCTCTCGAATCCTTCTCTTATTTTTTTCAAGAGATCATAAATCTAGTCTAGTGAATCTCAAAGAGTATAGATAAAAAAAAATTCTCTAAAAAAATTAAGACTAATTAATTAATCGGAAAATCTTTAATTGCGATGTTTCGCATATTACGCAACAACATAATATTCTTGTAGTAAAACACGCTTGTATTACTTGAAATTTACATTTGAATTGATTTATATAACACGTTCTCTTTCAGTTATATTGAAGATAAAGATGTCTTGTGTCGAGAAAACCATGTATCCATGCAATAACTCGCCAAATAAGACTTTAATCTCCAAGACTTCGGCTTCGAACGGGCTGTAAGGCGAGCCAAGAAAATTATACGGCGGCCAATTCCATTCGGCACGAAGCCTACCGAGAGCAATAATAAACCGACAAGTCGACCCGGTCTCGTGGGAGTTGAACTAATTAAATGCTAGACGAACGAGGGAGAGAGAGAACTCAAGCTCTTTGTGATTCGAAGTGAGTTGCAGGAATGCGCGGGTTGAAGGAATTAGCGTCGGAAAACGTTAAACTCGTAAATGAAGGAACGCGGGATTGAGTTTGCCGGTAGCTAAACCACCTTCTATCGCTACTTGGCGAATTAAAATACCCTTGCGATTTGCGGCCATTTTGCGACTTAACTTCCTTCCTCCGTTACTTGATCTCGGACACCTTTCCCTCTTTCTCTCGATTTTATTCTCGGCCTCTCGGTCGTATCGAATAAATGTCTGGGAAATGAGGGTCCCGCAGAATTCGACGTTTTCCATTTCTCTGCAAATTTAATAGCCGTGACTCTCCGGAGGCGGAATTTTGTCAACTGCGAATTTGCGACCGACCTGATGGAGTTTTGCAGGCAATCTTGTCTTCTCTCCCTTATACTCCTTATATATCCCTATACACAACACGTCCTTCTATCGCAACTCTCTTGTAATTTACATCGTGCACGCGAACGTTTTACATCCCGCATTCTCGCTCAATTTGGGAGTCATTAAATCTAAATAGTTATCCCCGCATCCTTTGAGATTTACGTCAAGCTAAAGTAATAAGTTTATTAGCGCGCGTGACGTTCTCTTCGATCGATTTATGTTTGTTTCAGACGTAAAAGGAACGGTATATCGCGAGAGAAAATTTTCTTTCTCGCTTGTTTCTTCAGTTCTTGCGTATTATCTTCGCGAAAGGAAATTAATATAGCGCTCTTCGTTACAGCCGGAAATGAGCGCGGATATAAAGCGAGGACACACATACACACGTCGCGTTTATCGTGCTGGTAATCCGTGTAATTGCTTTTTCCACTCTCTTTACGGACGTGTAAAACCGTCAATAGAAGACCCGTCAGATCCGAGAGAGTCGAAACTTGTACTCTGGAGTTCGCTGTACCAATTGTTTCCACGTCCGATACTCTATATCCACAAAACTTTATTTTCCTTTCTTCATTCTTTTGCCACATTCCCTTCTTGACAGGATTATTATTACTCCCGAGTGCGATGACATGTAATATTTGCATGAAAGTAGGCTACGAACAGCTGATCGCGAAGAGAGAGAGAGAGAGAGAGAGAGAGAGAGACCGGAAAAAGTTTTCCTTTTCAATTCCGCTGATGACAATATTGACAATATATTTTAATGACAATATTGACGTAACGTTTTTCAATAATCCTCTCATTTCGCGCAAAAATATTTTTTATTAAAAAAAGAGAAGAAGAAAAGGTTCCATTTGTCGCCGAGGCTTTAATTTCACAAAAGTTTGTAAGATTAACGCGTTTTGCTCGCGCATTGAACGGAACTGAATGCTGAGCTCTTGCTCATATATATATAGCGTTTCATTCGACCGAGTATGCAAATCTCGGGTACAATGCTCGGGCACCAAATGCTGACACGATTTCTCGAGTGTTCGGGGCCGGGCGTGTCACGGCAGGTGGTATTCACAACCCGTGAAACATATTGAGTTTATTATTAAAGCGGAATATAGTTAACGACGTCGACAACCGTCTCTCTTATAATTCCTTGTAATCCGCATCGATATATACAAGGTGTCCCAGATCTGGTAAACCTGTTAATGTCAGATTCTTGGAATAATTTAGAGACGATTTTTCCTCAACAAAAATGTCGAGATGTCAATAATTTTCGAGTTATACGCGATGGAAAATAAGGGGTCTTTTGCAAAGTAAGCCTTGTGGAAATAAAATATTATCAAAATCACAATTTCATGTAGAGTTTGCTTTAATAAAATTTTAATTTAAGGCTTAATTATGAAGATACATGGTGGCAAAAATTGGAAACATGCAAAAAATGACCTCCCTCGATATTTTCGCTGAGGAAACATTATTTCCAAATGATTCCAGGAATTAACAGGTTTACTATTAATTTTGGGATACCCTGTATACCTCTGAGGGATGACTTATAGATAAAGGGGTATCGCGAAAATAAAAGGATTACACACACTTACTGTTCTAAAGAATAACCAAAGTATAGGAAGGCCAGCAGAAGAAGAGCGATCACGACGAGAGGTGTCCCGAGAAGAGGTCCGAGTGTAACAGCTAATCGGGAATCTTTCATAGCTGCTCCGGCTGTCTCCGCCTTTGTCACCTCGATTCCCGTCGCTAATTAAAAATTTACATGGAACATTAATTAGATAATTCCGCAGAAAAAGCTTATTGTCCTATCTTTGATTAGAATATGAACAATTATCCTCTAAATCCTAGTCTAAACTAAATCTATAATCAGATAAATAACGTTAAATAAAAAGATTGAGAGAAAAATATTTATTTACAAAGCATAACAATTATTTTTAAAATATTTTTCACTGCTTGAAACTGAATTAAAATAAATGTTTTGATTTCTGGAAATTGTATATAGAAAAACGAAATATAATCAAATTTGTAAGGGGAAAATAAATCACATTTCAATTAATATGAATATAAAAAGCAGTATATTGCTCGATCGCGATTGTTTACGCATTCCAATTATAAAACTAAATTAAAATTTGTTATCGCCGTAGGTGTCATTCAATGGCACGTCAATATCGGTAAAATTAAAAAACGATAAGAACAGGATAAATAAAGAAATATTTTTTTCTCAGTTTTACACACGTACATACGTAAATATTTTTGTTTACGCGGTTACAAACAACTTATATACAAACAAATTATATACGCATATTTCCTCGAAAAAACATAAAACAAAAATTTCTTTCTAAATTATCTTTCATCACATTACGCAAAAAATTTCTATTTGAACCACGCAAATCAATCGATTTATCTAAAAAAATGAAATCACAGGGGCATACTGACATTGCAACATCTCCCTCAGATTCTCCACTGCCTCCTGTATCGCGATCCCGGAATAATCTCCCTTCTCCTTTACGAGGACCTCGACGCCTCCATTCCAACTGCGTCTGGTATGCCAGGCAATCTTCTCGGTGTATCCTTCCAAAGCTTCGTCCGCCGCGGTTTGTACCATCGCTAACGAAACATGTGCTCCAGATGTGGAAACGCGTCCGCCGCAATAAGGACAACAGTGACCTTCCACCTGAAACGTCCATGAACTTGAGAGAATGTGCGAATAAATCAATAAATTTCCGCGACTAACTAGAAGATGATTCTGAAAGTATCTCTAACCGCAAGAGGATATTCGCAATCCGTGAAACCGCATCTCGATCTCTCAATGGCGCAGATCTCTTCGAGATAGTCGTCTTGAGAGTCTCCCTGACAGAAGCATTTCGCGCAATCGCGCTGGAGATAATTTTCGGTGTATCTGGAAAGATATCATTTTTTTTTCAATCTTCTTCGCTCGAGCAAACGAGAAGTTAAGGGAAAAAAGAGGGCGCGAAACTCACTTTACGGTAAATCTACCTCTGGTGAATTCTCTACGATCTTGAAAATTCGTCCATTCCTCCTCGAGGAACGGCTGCTTCTCGTTTGAAAGTCGAATCGATTTCACCTCCACTTCTCTCACAGGTAAAAGGACACTCAAAGTACGAGTTACGCTCGGTAGAACAACGTCGTCCAGACGACAAGGAACGCGCTCAAGATGCGGTGTTGCTACCGAACTGCCATTCCAATTTGCGGGATCCGCCCAGAAGAAATTACCCTCCTTTGACCATTTACTGACCTTTGCATCCGCTCTGGAATTGCTCAGCTTGTGCAACACACAAGAGTAGGCGTATATATTTATATTTTACATAAATATTTTATGTATGAGTTTAAAAAATTATTTCATTTTATTTTATTATCTTCTATGCAAATGTTTAAAAAATTATAAATATTAAATAGGTTCAATCATTTTATTTACGAATTGCGCAAATTTCAATATTTCATATCCTTATCATTATATTTTACACGATCTCTTTCTCACTGATAAATATTCTAATTAACGATTTTCGAATTAACCAGCAAATGATGCGCCGACATTAAAACATTAATATCGCAATTATTGTAAACGTGTCAGCGAGACGCAATTACTACGATATCTCGTAAATGAATAATATCTTTCATCTGGAAATACATATGTTAAATAGGGAAAAAGGGCGCATCATCTCGTTCTCTATTTTATCATTCGCTCAAATATGTTTTAATTTTAATATAATCATTTCTCTATATCTGTATGTTTTCTCTCTAACAAATATATAAATTCTCCTCACTTGCAGTTTACCGTTTCTAGGCAGGACCAGCAATCCTTGATTGGATAAATCGATCCCGGATAGCCTTAAATTGTCAGCTACGGCGATTCCCACTGCATGTCGAGTCTGTCGAGGGAAAATTACTCGATTGTCGATTTCTGGAATGCGATTGTCCATCCAGTTGTTTACGGTTTGCCATTCCAAATCTGGAAGCCAGTGCTTCTCAAAAGCGGAGGAATATTTCGATATCAGGATAATTACACACAGCACGTCGATTTTGCGAGTTGGCGCACAAAAGCCAAACATGTTATTACAATTTCGTAATATAACTGTCAATTGATTCAATATATATGTAAATACGTGTAACACGTCCACTTCTCGATTAATTTTTAATTACTCGGGTTTGTAAACCGGTAAAAAGAATTTATACGCATTATCCTCATCAATAATTTACGATAGTCCTTCCGAAATTTGGAATTGTACGAGAAAAAGAAACCGAACGCAGCGTGAAAACTTCGATGACTAAAAACTGTGTGTCCGATAATCAAAGCCAAACCGGGGGCGTGTCTGATTTATGATAATAGAGTATGGATTTGTGTTATTTATCGCGTTTAAGTCTCATCATGAGTCTCATGGCTCGTTGAAATTAAAGTGTATTTATTATTTGTTAATTTTCGTTGAAAATCAACGAATCGATTATCTATTCTGATTTACAGCATATTAAATTATATCTTCCTCTCGCTCACTCTCTCTCTCTTTTTCTCTCATCAAGATTGAAAAATTATTAATGGATAAATATGTTCGTTTAAAAGAGCTGCAATCAAACACGTTTAAATTATATCAACATAAATTGAAGATAAATCTCTCTGAATTTGAACTGTTCTATTTTATTAACAATTATTTATTTTAAACTGAAAGATCAGATGGAAAGCTAAATTTCCGCTATTTACATTAAACGTATCAATATATATTTGCTTTTATTATCGTTTATTATAATGGTATACTTAACAGAATATTTCTATATATATAAATATCGCAATTTTGCGCACATGAAAACATTAGATCAACATTTATTATCACTAAATTCTCATTTAGTAATTAAATAACTGAAAATGGAGTTGAAGGTATATATATACACACACATATATATATATGTTATACACGTACATATGACGAAAAGAACATTACAAGATTTATTATGACATTGAAGATAGATACAATATATTTTGCGATAGCGTAAATTTTCTCTCGATAACGATTAAAAATATAGTTGGAACAATATTAGAACAAGTACAATATTGACAATGTTTACAGGTAAATATAACTTTTAGCACATAATAAAATATTGCTCCTATCTATCATACAAATTGTCATTGTAATTATGCACGAAATAACAAATAATAAAATTCATTACTCAATTGCAGAATAAAAATTAAAAAGAAAAAAAAAAACATTTACAATATTTTTTGTCTTTTTTAAAATAAAGTGTTAGCTTTCATTAATAATTTTTGAATATTTTGTAATCATAAAATACAATGATAATATCAATAAATAATGGTTGATTAGGCTATAGCCTAATCAACTTAACGACGATTCCATTGTTTATTGATATTATCATTGTATTTTATGACTGCAAAATATTCAAAAATCATAAACGAAAGCTAACACTTTATTTTAAAGGAAACAAAAGATATTGTAAATGTTTTTCTTTTTTTCTTTTTAACTTTTATTCTGCAAATACGCAAACATTTTAATTATTAATTATATCGAAATTGGGAGAAAAGAGGATTAATAAAATCAAACAACCTTGTCTAAAAAATCTAAAAGAATTTCTCTACGGTATTTTCATTGAAATACTTCCATCATTTTTTTTTTGTAACATTTTCAAGTGGATGACGCACAAATTTCACAGCAAATTTTGGAAAAGAGAGATTTCAAGATCTCATTATCGCTTTTAACCTCCACGGACGATCAATTTTGTTCTTAGCATTCAGAAGGATACTTATCAAGATAGTTGCGTAACAATTTCAATAAAATTTTTGAATAAATTCAAATTTATTATTTACGAGGAAAATAGAAAGATTTATCATTTAATTATAATAAGAAATCAATCTTGTTTTCTTCCGTGTTCACTTTAATCCCTAGATGATCGCAGAACGAGACATATGTGATTCATTTCTTTTGAAAAAAAATATAGCAAAACACATGAATATTAATGGAAGGCAGTTGAAAAAATTATGTAACTTATGTAACTTATTTTTTACATGTCGATGTCGGGTTCTAATAATAATATAAGTTTGTTATAACTCTATTAATATTCTATATTGTACAAATTAATAGTTAATTAACACACTTACTGATAAATGATAAATTAAATGATAAATCTTTCTATTTTCCGTGCTTCGCGATGAAAACTATTTATTGGCTCAGATTTTCGTCCTCGACTATTCCTTTGCCCAAACCAAGAAGATATTTTGAGCCGACAAGATCGTTTGGTCTTCTTCCGGCTATTTCATCCAGCTTCCAGCCTCGTTTCCCGATGCCGAAACTGAAGGGTTTGCTGGCGCGCTTGTCATCTATAAAGTCATCCAGATTATCCTCGCGAGAATGATAGCCCTCCATGTTGTCGACTGAGAAATAATCCATGCCCAAGGGACGGTATCCGTTATTACGCTTCCCTATGCCGAACCTGTAGTCCCTGAGACGTTTTCCGATACCAAACGAGAACGGCCGAGTCCGCTGCAAATAAAATTTTATTACGAAAAAAAAAAAAAAAAAATACGATTATGACATTAATTTTCATTTTCATTCTCGGTATATATCATTTTGTTTTTATACGTCTGTTCGATGTTGGGAAATATAAGAAACGATTTAATTAATAAATTGTTAAAGATTTCTCTTGCTCTATATTACTCTGCAAATAAAATTTTATTACGAAAAAAAAAAAAAAAATACGATTATGACATTAATTTTCATTTTCATTCTCGGTATATATCATTGTGTTTTTATACGTCTGTTCGATGTTGGGAAATATGAGAAACGATTTAATTAATAAATTGTTAAAGGTTTCTCTTGCTCTATATTACGAGATTTTAATACATATTTCTTGGATATTCGCGATCCGACATTTCTCTAATCAATTTGATTAACGAAGCAAATTATATTCGGCCGAAAAAATTGAACGTATTATTTTTGTATTTGATCCGGTAACTCACTTTATCATCGCTACTGTCGATCCATCGCTTTCCAATGCCGAAGTTATAAAGCGGTAGCCTCTTGTACTCGGAAATGTAAGCGTACGCCCTTTTCTCAGAGGGTTCGTCGTACTCCAGGTTGCTCAACGGATTCAATCGTGGAAAATGCAAAGACGAGGACGGCGCCTCTTCCATCGCCGCTGCTGATCGTCCGACGACGCTCAACAGGTAGAACATGATGATTCTCGTAGCGATCAGACTCGATTTCGACTTCATGACGCTGGGTTCCGGAAATTATCTGAAAGTACAAAGGTCACGCGAAATTGCAATTTATAATCGACCAATGTTGGCGGAATATCGGAATGGAAATTCATCTTGTTAATAATGTCATACGAACTTCCTGGATTGAGTTTTCGAATTCACTCACGCGCGCAAAATTCCTCGCGTCGAGATTGCGTGAGGAGGTTTAATCTCCATCGAATTACACATTTAGATTGCATAATAACTATTTATCCGCACGATAGTTTCTCCAGTGGAATTATGTATCTTCGAAATTATGCGCGAGAAATTGGCGCGCAATATCCTAATATATTTTAATACACGTGTAACGAGAGGTATAATTAATCAAATTGAGCTGCGATATTTATTCAAAACAATTGTAACGGAATAATATTTATTCGAATAACAATGAACGTTTTATTTGCAATTGTAATTGCTTCGATAACGTTTTGCGGAATTTTATATCTGTTAAAAGGATTTAACGAAATATGAAAATGCGTTAAAGAGCAATATTCTGCGGAAGATTTTACGGGCATTTCTGAACGCAGATGTACGCAAATGGAATTCTACTACGGAAAAACAAAATGAGGAGTTATTTATACGACTGGCGAGGAAATGAATGCTGTTGCAGTGGGAAAATAGCTTTTACACGTAGAGGTGTCGTGACAATTTTACGACAAGGATTCTCTCACCATCCTATACTTCCTTGCGAGGTATTTTCACCGTCACCGGGTTGGAATCCCGTTAAATCTGGATAAAATCATGGGGTAATTTTTTATTTTTACCTCTTTCTTCGCGAATAACATTTTTTTCGCAATTTACGAGATAATATAATCGCCAGATTCTATCGGAAGAAGAGCACGCGTCAATTAAATCTGGGCGAATTTTATGTATATGTATCTTTTTTCACCTATACAACATTTTCGCGATTTATAAGTTGAAATAATCATTGATTCAAATGTTTTATTAAAAATATTAAAAACCCGTGCATGTTTGTTTTATATTCTATTAAAAATCTGTTACATATGCACACATAGTTATATCATTTGAAACAAACGTTTCCATCAATTTAAAAAGTACAGTTATTGTTGCGCATTATGATTCTGCGATTTCAATATACACGTGATTAACACAGTTTGAAAAAATATTTAATAGTTGCAATGGAATGACGAAAGAGCGTGCACGATTGAATATCGCACATGTATAGACCGCTAAACCCGAAATCCCCTAGAGGCAGTTCGATCAATATTTGATGGCGAAATTCGTAACGTATTGCCGATCCCTCTTCGTCCTACTTGATCACTATTCTTCAAGAGGCTCGAACACGGGTCAAGAGGACGCACGAGGTCGATAAACGTGGATAAAAATGTAACATTTATAACAAATTTGCAGTTATCAAGAAAGTTATCGTTTTCATTCATAAATTCTTAAACGCGCCATTTTTTATTATAGATAAAATCTTTGTATAGCTTCTTTTAATTGTTCATATATATAATGCTAAATTGTAAAATGTCCGTAGATTAAATTTATATACGGAACGATTAAATAATGTTTACTAAGCAAATAAAAGTTGCAAATAAAAGGCCCACGCACAGATTGCAGCATTTAATTCCGATGGATTTTTATTATTATGTATCGTTACGTTTTATCGTTGTTATAATTTTAATTATGAAAAGTGACTTATCTCTTATTTCGAAGCATATAATTTCTGACAATGCATTGAATGTAACTGCAAATACTAGATTGTCATTCTATGTATTGTATACGCGAGGATAAGAGGGTTGAAGATGTTTTCACGAGATTGAAAGAGTCGAGAAGATTTCTGATGACTCGCTTAAAGCTGAGAACCGTTTGATGATTGCAACAGGTGCTATTCTTATTCTCTTCTCTTCTTTTCAGACATTTGAGATATAATCGCAGCTATATTTTTTAATCCCTCTTACCAACATTAGTTCCGACAAAATAGTTTTTATAAATTATTGAATAATGTTATTGTTCAATAAATTCTGTCAAATTCGAACTTTTTATAAAAATCGAAAAATTATTTCAGCAGCTTAAATCCTCCCAGAGCTAATTCATCATTAAATGAAATGTCGCATATATATAAATTTATCGTAGTAGCTTTTCTTCGTATTTTTAATCCCTCTTGTGTGGGATTCTACGGTTTTCTCGTGAAAGGAATTAAAAGATCATTCTTCTTATTATCATAAAATATTATTACGCACTTAACAAAATTGCTATCGCGTATCTGATAATTACACATATTGTTTTTCACGATAAAAAAGTGCTATGTCGCGTATTTCATTTCTTCTTCTTTCAAATAAAACTTTCGTCGTTTTAGCTGTCATTCAAAGTGTCAAGTGTCTCAAGGATTATTGGATTCCTCTTTGAAAACAAAACTTTTCTTGTTGATTCGCTGACAGAGTTTTGTGTTAGAATATTGAACATGATCGAAAATATATCTGCCTGCAAACGCACAAGACATGTGAAAATATAAGTACTTCTGTTATAAATAAAAAAGAAAATAATAAGATATACATAAGAATGCAGAAAAAGAAAATAAAATAACGTCCTGACTTCTCCTTACTTGCTTTAACAAAAGTTAAAAATATTCGAATTTTATGCGCTTTCTCTGCTTGTCGTCATGCTAAAGCAAGCAAGCGAAACTTTTTGCGATAATACAAAAATGGCAAAGAGAGAGAAAAGTTACAAAGAAAAGTGTACACAGAGATTGCTTTTAAATTTTATGTGGGTTAACCTTTAAGCATGCGGAGGATGTTGTATGGTGTACATGAAAGTCTCATAAAGTTTAGACGGTATTATTCTACAAAAGAACTACTCTATCATCACGCACTACAAATAATATTATATAACAATTGAGTTCTTACATGCGCGATGTATTATTCGATACATGTGGGTACTAAATTTATGAAAATGTCAGCCAGAGATTATTCGCTATTATTAATTTTGAATTTATTTCAATTGAGCAAAACTTTCAACATGTACGATATAAAGCTGATTTGATACAGCATATATATATGCTTAACTATTAAGTAGTTTATTACTAAATATCGGACGTAAAACATATGTGTTAGGTGTAAAACTAACATTTGTACGGGATCGTAATAATATCGATTGAAATACGGACATGTCATTTGTAATTGAATGAGATATTGCTGAAACACCACATGCGTTCGTGCTCCAATGAAAACAACTTAGTGTCAAAACACAACTATATTTCCTGCAGAAATCATTATTATCTTTCGCAAGCACATGATATTTTGAACAAGCAAAAACGCGTACGTGAAGAAAAAATATCAGACAAAATATACTCAGTATATAAATATAGAAATCTAATTAAATTGTATAAAAGTTCTTTCAAAATTTATTTCAAATGTTTTTAAAAAAGTCCGACAATCATATTGTTTAATAATCATGACAACAGTGTCAACTAACTGCGCTTTTATCAAGGAAGTATGTAAAAAATTTTTAATTCTTGCGTTTAACATCAAAAATGTTTATTAATTTTAATTAATTGTACCATTCTAGTTTTTCACTTGAAAAGGACCAAAAACAGATGGTCGAAACGTTGTGGAAATAAAATAAAAATTTTCTTGGCTAGTTTGGGTCGAATTAAATATATCGTTCCTATTTCTAATTAAATTGTATTATTGCGAATAATGTATGTGTGCGTGAAATTTCGACATTCATCGAAGTGATAGAAGTCCTCCTTCCGAAGGAAGAAAATCAACGCTCCCTCTCGCACGCGTCAACATTTTTTTTACCAACTTACTATAGGTCAAACTCATATTGCGACGACGTCCCTTTAGAAATTCTGATGAGACGACACGTGTACAATGGCCCGGCTCACGTCAAATGAAGCAGAATACTTGGCCGATCTACATGACAGACATCATTTGTTCATCCGAGCGCGATGATCTCTCATGCCCGGATTTTTCACGGTCTGACGAACATTCCGTTTGCGTTGGCATCAATCATCGACGACCTACTCAAGAAATTGGATCATAAGCGTTTTGATTCACCCATTGTTTTTAGATGAGTCTAAGCTGTCCTGGATAGATATCTCTCGGTCTAAAATTTTTCTTCACTAAAATGTTCTCCCTTTTCCTACTCCTGCTCGTAAAGTACGATAATCCTGACAATCTCGAAACGATATACTTATGGAACACGTCTCGTAAAAATCGTTCCCGGATAATATCGCGTTCTGGGCTCTCAATAAAAATCGGGATTACATTACGTCCGATGCTTGTGGAAACTTTATTTACACGATATTATAATATATATTAACGGCTTCTTATCGAGTGCCTTTTGTTAACGACACGCGCTGAAGACTTTTTTATACACCTTTCGTGTAGCAATATTGCGGGGGAATTCTCGTGACAAAAGGAAAAATAATAATAGCTCATCGAATAATGGTGGCGGCAAAATCTTTTCCGACAATTCACTGTTTTTTCTCCGTAGGATAATATATCCCTTTTTTATTTCGCGCTTTATTATTTTGACCTTTCGTAATGATTGATACTTCCGTGATATATATTTATTCTAATTGTTCTTCATTATATTTCTATCTTTTGTGAAAATATATCTACAAATTTGAAGAAATAAAAAAAATATTCAAAGATAATCTAAGACTTTAATATACACAATGAAAAATATTGAGCGTATACACAATTAATCATCGACAAATCGATTTGTTATCTGTCATCTCGAAAACAACACAAGTGCAACACGTTGTCTTTTAAAAAAAAATGTTTAATTCAATTATAAATCTCGATGTATGTGACGTGTGCGTTTTATATTTTTATATCGAATGACCCTTGTAATCGTAGCGTGTGGTAGAAAAATTGTATGAAAAATAACTGTATATTGCATCAAAAGCAACATATTGAACACGGGAAACAAAACATTTTTACGAGCATTGGTGTGTAACCGTGTTTCCGATATTTTATCTCTTCGCGAGAACTCAAGAGATAGAGAGAGAGAGAGAGAATGCAAAAA